GGGAATGGGGAGGGGGAAAATGGGAAAAGTGGGAAAAGTGGGATTGGGAAAAATGGGAAAAATGGGAAAAATGGGAAAAATGGGAAAAATGGGAAGAGAAGGGATGGGAGAGTTGTTGGGAGCTGGGAAAATTGGATGGGGAAATGTGGGGAAAGAATTGGGGGAATTAATTAAAAAAAAACAATTAAAATAAAGTAAAATAGAATAAAATAGAAATTAAATAAATTAGAAATAAAGAGAAATAAAATAAAATAAAATAGAAATAAAATAAACTAATGTAAAATAAAATAAATGGAAAAATTAATCAAATCAAATCAAATCAAATCAAATCAAATCAAAAATAAATAAAATAAAAATAAAATAAAATAAAAGAAAATAGAATAAAATAAAATAGAACTATAAAATAAAATACAATAAAATAAATAAATTTAAAAATAATTTTTAAATAAATGCCCAAAAATTATAAAATGCATTTTAAAGAAATGCAGAAAACAAATATAAAATAAAAATTGAAATGCATAAATAATGTAAAATAAATTTGAAATAAATTTGAAATAAATGTAAAAATAAATATTAAAAAATATATCTAAAATAAATTGATTTTAAAAGAAATGCAAAAAACAAATATAAAATAAATTTCAAAGAAATTTTAAAAAAATGTAAAAATAAATATTAAATAAATTACACTGAAAATAAATTATATTTAACAAAAATGCATAAAACAAATATAGAATTAATTTGAAATAAATGCAAAAATAAATATAAAATAAATTTTAAATATATAGAATGAATATAAAATAAATATAAGAATAAACCCCACAAAATATGGCATAAAACAAAGATAAAAATAAATTCAACACCCCCAAAAATACAAAATAAATTCAAAATAAATGAAAAAAATATTAAAAAAAAGTTACGATAGAATAGATATAAAATATTTATATAAAACATAAAATACAAAATAATGCATGAAAGAAAAATGAAAAGTGAAGGAAATAATTTATTTAAGCATAAATGAATTAAAATTTTAAAAAATTAATCTAAACATAAAAAATAATGGGAATAAGTGCAAAATTAGGAATAAACCAAATCAAAAAGAAAACAAAAGTCTAAAACACAAAAAATTAAAAATAAAAAAAAATCACTTTAAAAGGAAAGTGAAAATAACAGCCAATAAAAACAAGAATTAAATTAAATTAAATTAAATTTAAATTGATTTAAATTTAAATTAAATTTTAAATTAAATTAAATTATATTAAAATTAAATTATTTAAGTGAATTTAAATTAATATTAAATAATTTAAATTAAATTAAATTAAATTTATAATTGAATGAAATTTAAAATTAAATTTCTATTTCAATTTAAAATTAAATTAAATTTTAAATTTATTTAAATGTCTGATTTTAAAAATTAGAAATTCAAATCTAAAGCAAAAATAAATTAAATCATGTAATGAAAGAAATGTTAATAAATGTTTTAATAAATATTTAAACAAATTATTTAAATAATTTTTAATAAAGTTTTATATAAATTATTTTAATGAATATTTAAACAAATATTCAAATAAATTAATTTAATAATATTTTAATAATTTTAAAATAAAATATTTTAATGAAGTATTTTAATAAATATAAAAAAAGCAAAAAAAAAAGAAAAAAATTAAAAACAATAAAAATAAAATAAAATAAATAAATAAAATCCACGAGACCCTTCCAAGGAAAAATTCCCTTTTTCCCGGGCGGGATTCCGGGATTTGGGATGGAAAGGCCCCAGAGGAACCCCTCGACCCCAGTTTTCCCCTCCATTTCTCCTCCGACATTCCCAGGAGAAACAGGAAGAACTCCAGGCCTCCCATTCCCGAACAAATCCCGACCGTGCCGGGTTTGGTGTTGGGATGTTGGGAATTCTGGGAAACGCCGGGATCTTGGGAAGTGTCGGGATCTTGGGAAGTGTCGGGATATGGCACAGGGAGCGGGGATTGGGATGGGGAGGAGGGATGGGATGGGATTGGGATTGGGATTGGGGTTGGGATTGGGATTGGGATTGGGATTGGGATTGGGATTGGGATTGGGATTGGGATTGGGGTCCATG